TGTATCGGTGTGTGTGTGTGTGTGTGTGTGTGTGTTTGTGGTTGAAGGGTTCGACTATCATCTTCCCTCCTCATCTTTCTGCTTGACTTCTTTCTGATTCTCATCTTTCTTTCTTCACTCTGAAAATGGAAACGTAATTTTCAACACGTCTCGTCTGGGAAGACACACACTCATGTTTGAACTGTTCAGACGGTGTGTAGGAGCGGGACAGTGAATGAGTGTTTATATTGCAATAGTGAAATACAGTATACCTTGATACAGAAAATAAATCTGGAAAACAAACTCATTCTAGATGAAACAACCAGATGGAAATGTCTTATCTTATCTTATCAAGGGAATTAAAATAAACGCTGCGATTTAACGTGATCAACATGAAGGGTTGTAGGTTCAACTAGAGTTAGCTGCTTTTTATTTCTGGGTCATGACAAACATTTGGCCCATTCCAGATTCCAAACAACAAGGCACCTTCTGGCAAAACACTACAGAAATAACTTTCCTTAAACTATCATTTTTATCCTAATGTAGAGCTTATTTCCTCATTCTGCTGTTTAACTTAAATAGCATACACAGATTTGAATAAACAAAATACAAGTAGAAGCAACAGTGGAGAGGAGAAGAGTTTAGAAAACAGACCTAAAGAACCTATTAAATAACAAAGTAAACCTAATACGAACAGTGAGGGAAAGCAGACCTATGTACGTTGGTGTAAAGCATTAACAGGAATGAAATAGCTGAGTATAAACTGGAGTAGTATAATAAATAGACGAGAGCATAGTAGAGAGCAGAAGAGTGGAGCGTTAGGCTAAAATTAGCGTGCTAATCCAGGGAACTCCCATGTTAAACTGTGAGTCCCATCTGGAACGCTAGCTATGCTAACGCTATCAGTGAGTATAGGTCACAAACTCTGACACAAGTTGCCGCTCAACACAATCAGTGAGAAATCAACAAGACTTTTAATATATTACAGACTTTTCAAATGAAACTAATCAGCTACAGATTAGCTTGCTGACCACACACGTCAACATTCAACTTCCTGAGCAACGGGGCATCTGTAGTTGTTCACGTTATCAGTACGGATACATTGGTATTGGTGTATATGACTGAAAAGAAATAAATTATTATAGTAGGAATTATTAGAAATATGTATGTTGTCTAGATTTATGTTTATGTGAAAGAAAAATGCAGGCCAATATGTTGTCAGATTATTTTAGCCTCAACTCAAATATCAATCAGTCGGTGCTTGGGCCCTAAATATGTCCACACCGTCTGTCTGTCCGTCGGCTGGTATGCTCTTTACCAGCATTTCGTCTGAGCTTAAACAAAAATACAAATAGACTTAAGACATATGACACATCATCTGCCCGATGGCAGTATTTAGCAAAAACCCAGTCTCTCGTCAACATGATTATGGCAGTGATTCAACATCTTAAAATGCCCTTTTCCAAAAATAAAATAGAAAATGTTGTAACACTGTAAAAAAGCAATAGTGAAGCAATATAACATGTATAATGCGGACCACTGCATAAAAGCAATCAGAGCTTCTGGTCGTGCCCACAGTCAGAACAGAGTGACACATTAAATACCCAGAGAGCGTCTACGAGTGTGAATGTCTGTCTTATTTCTGCTTTTTAATGTAACCACAAACAGCAGTCTGGCTTTTAAAAAGATACATAAAATAAACACAAAATGAAACAGAAGTCTGGCTGTGCTTTAAAAATACATAAAATAAATAAAAAAGAAACAGAAGTCTGGCTGTGCTGACATCAGAAACATCAGTTAAACAGAGACAAAGCGCAGACAAATGGCACACCTAGTAATGGACACACACGGTCATTAATGTTAACAACGGAAAAAATGAGGATATGTAAAGTCCAACGAGACGAAGACCAGAAATTACACACACACACACACACACACACATTCACACACACACTGCTCCTCTGTGTACTAGCTGACCTGCAGAGCATTCTGTCTGAAACATATGAAAATCAAACCTCATTATCAGCTGCTTGTCTGGCTCTGTGAGTGTGTGTGTGTGAGTGTGTGTGTGTGTGTGTGTGTGCGATGCTCATTAGAATTCTAGCCAGAAGGAGCTAGACTACCCCTGTCGTCTCGCACCCCCGCACACACAGTCCTACGTCCACAAACACACACACACAGTCAGACCTTCGTACACAAACACACACTGTTCATTTGAATGTGAAAGAGAAAGGGAAGTCAGACAGAGTCGCAGAGGGCAGGTCACATGCAGAGGGTTGTGTGTGTGTGTGTGTGTGATGGCTGCCATCCAGTGTGATACTAGACATAATAGTAATCATTAACAGTATGCAGTGTGTGTATATGTACACACATGTACACATTCATTGCATCAGGTTAGTAGCAGAAGTTCAACC